GCCGGTTACCTGGCGGGGGGCGGCGCCCACACCCCTCCCCGGGCCCCGGCACCGCTCTCAGCACTGCGGGCGGCGACCCCCCACAAGCCCCGAGACTTGCTGCGGGCATGCGCCCGCTCCAAACGGTGTTTTCTAGTCACAGCCCACACGCCTCGTCCTGCCGAGGGTGGAGAGAGTCACCGAGCGGTGCGCAAACCGCATCGAGAGCCGACCGAGGTCCGGTCCTGCTGCCCATCGTCCGACCCCGGGCTCCGGGGCAGGGGCACAGGACGGCCGGCGCAGCAAGGGTGCCGAGAACCGCCGCCTGCCCCGTGGAGGCTCAGAGCTGCCCCGTCCCGGGGGGCCGAATGCCGGGGACCAGGTCTCCCGGAGAGTCAGTCACAGAGCCGCCGGAAGCAGGTTTGAGCGAGTCACGACCACCCCGACCTAAGCCCGCCAGCGTGGGGGGCAGGCACAGCACCCGCCTGGGGCTGGCCAAGGCCCGGGTTCCGATCTGCGCCCTGGCGGAGCCTGCTGAGGGCCGCCGCGCACCTCTCGGGGAAGAGGAGACCGGCCTGGGCCTGGGCCAGGGCTGGGGCAGTGTGCTGTCCCGGGCCAGCCTGGGGGAGGGTGTGCCCCAGCCTGTGTTCCCCGCATCTGGCCCGGCTCGAGCGCCGGGCTCGGCGCTGGCGTTTTCAGGCCCCTACTCCTGTATTTCTCTTTCAGGTGCTTCCAAAACTGGGCTGGGAGGAAAGGGGTGTTTATCTGCTCCCCTCAAATCTTAGCCTTTGCCAACTGGAAGGAGAGCAAGCCGCATAACCTCGCCAGGCTGCACTACAAGGGGGGTTGGCAAACGTATCTGTGACCAGCAGCAGCGCAGGTGACGGGCCGGTGTTTATCACGCGGGCCTGCACGCAGCAGGGATCTCTTCACGTCTCCCACATGCCTCGGGCACGCGTCACACATTTCACGAACATGGCTCCGCGCCCAGGGAGGGGGTCCCAAGCCACGCGCTGCGCGCCCCGGCCTCAGCAAGGCTGCCCGCTGGGGCCGCTGCCCCAAGTGAGCGCCAAGTTCGGGGGTCACCGCTGCACAGGTGTGGCAGGAAGGCCGGGGGGTAGGAAGCGCTGAGGTGCAGGGGCCGAGGAGCTTCGAGCATGAGGACGAGTCCTGCGCTCCGGCCAGGCGGGCTGGCTCCTTCCCGAGGCTGACACGTGGCCCAGCCATTCTGAAGCCGCGGTGTTGACTGGACCCGCCGCTTCCTCTCTGGAGACAGCCCGAGCTCCCGGTAAGAGGCTGTATTTTCCTCAGCTAATTTCCAAAGTCACGGAGACATTAAAATCCTCCCTACAAGTTGCTACCCCAAAGCCAGCTGATTCTAAACGATGGCAGTGCGGTGTCCATACGACACACCGAGCAGGGAGAGGCGGACACCAGATCCAGGCAGCCCCCGCCCCCACAAGGAGCAAGGAGTCAGGGCCCCAGAGGGGGCTGGCCTCCCCGGAGGGTCAGGTCAGCCCCAGGGTAAGGGGATGCCAGGCTCCACACCACCACGAGGTGGCGACACAGCACCAGCTTGGCCAATGCAACAACCCGCAACACAGTAAGGCAAAGCAAACGCCTCACAATTTCCCCCAAGGCCTTTTAAGCTTTCTCTGGCTCTTGTCTGCAGCGGGAACCCAAGGGTGACTAAAGCCGCTCTGCCTCCTGCCAGGCTGCACCCGCAAGTGCAGCCTACCTTGCCATGGGCAGCCCTGCTCTCTGCTCCCTCCTGGAGTTTCTTAAACCACCGGAAGCAAGACAAACTGTAAAACAAAACCCTGCACAAAGTGGTGGGCTTCGGAGTTGGGGGAGGGGGCGCTGCCCTGCCCTGCCAGCAGCAGGGGCCTGCAGGCGGGCTCCCAGAGGGTCCAGATTCTGTCTGCTGGCCCGCAGGGCCCTTCCAATAAAGGCCTGACTGATTGCACTCAGCACGATTTGCATAATTTGCCTCTGCAATAAACAGGCACTGTTGGAGGTTAGTCCCTCTGGCATATTGTAAAAAGTTCCCGATACACAAAATCATTATTTCCCCTCCAGCCAGTGGGCTTGGCTTGCTGATCAGCTGTCACGCTGCGAGGCTGAGCAGGCCCCCACCTGTCTCCAGGCCGTCAGAGGGCCGAGAGTGGCCGTTATCCGCACTTTCCCCTTCGCACAAGCTGTTCTGGTCTTTGTCATCTTCACAAACTTTTTTTCCTTCTGGTTGATGTTTTCTCAACCAAAGCTCATTTAAAAAGCATCGTTCGGTCCTCGGGGATCCGTGTGTTGTGAGCGCTGCTGTGAACTTCCGGCCGGCTGGCGTGGCGCTCGGGTCCTGTCTCCTGCCCCCCCCGAGAGCTGGCTGCCTCAGCCGGCTGCGTGTTGCAGATGGCGCTGTGCACTAGGACACTTGCCGAAACCAGGCTGCACCGTCGCGTTTCCCAGGCCTCCGGGTCCTGGGCAGGAAGGATGAGCTGGAACAGCCTCATTTAACTGCCAGCCGGGCCAGGGCACGCCGGCCGGAAAGCAGCCCAGTTCCGAGCCGCCCACGGCCGCGAGGTGGCGCTCTCCACCGCACGGTTCTTCGGCCAGCGTACAGTACCTCAAAATGACAACAGGCTGGTTTAAGATGATTTGTCTCTTGAGGATATACATTTGGTTTAAGTTTCCAGTGCAAAGTTAAAGTTCTTAAGATAGGTCATGCGGATCAATTGCTCCTGAAATCTGAAACTCAAAAGAGCAAGTAATATCTAAACAAGGGGAGGGGTGGCCCAGAGCTTATAAGGCTCGCTAAAAGCCAGGAGACAGTCAGCCTGGCTACCTCTAATCTCATCATCAAGACTGCTACCTCGTCCAGCTTCTGCTTCACATCAGCAGGGAAGAACAAAACCAACTGTGGGTGGCACAAAAGGAAGAACAGACATTCGACATGTATTCAACTGCGTGACAGATGCCAGCAACCGGTTCAACAGAAAACATGGCTGGGAGCGCTCAAACCCCAAACGGAGAAGTGCCTTGCTCTATGGAAACACACTTTCTTTTCTCTTCTAGAAAAAACCAGAGCGGAGGGATCAATGTGCACTTCATCGGCGGCTTCGAGAAAAGAGCCTGGTAACAGACCTACCCCCTGGCGTCCCAAGTCGTCGTTCACGTGGGCGAACGGGGCGAGGACTGGCAGCCGGCCAGTGACGCAAACGTTCACATTCTAAGTGAGACAGGCTCTCGTCTCTTATTCCCTCGACAAAAATACTGGTTCCCTTCCCTCACCATAGTCTTTGCAGTAAATAAGGCGTGAAACATAAAGTACTTTCGCATACACGTAAAAAAAGGAGAAGATATGTCAAATCATTCTAATGTCCTCTTTGCTTGAAAAATCAAAAATGTAAAACCTCCTGGTTTCTAGGAAACTATAGGAAATTGTTAACTGCTAAGTTTCATAAAATGAGAAGGAGCCTGATAAAAACGGCAATGTTTCAGTTTTCAAAATAGCACAAAGTAGCTCACAGCATGACATCTGCTATAGAAAAATGTGTATGCAAGAAAAGCTAGAAAAATAATGGTTACAGCCTGAGCTGAGTATTACAGGTTTGGATTTTGAGAATCAAATTTCCTCTCTTTATTCTAACTTTAAAATTCAGTGTCTTACTTAGACATAACATCTTTAAGTCCTATATTTGC